GGTAACATCGGTAGTTATCCATATTTACTTCCTAGCATTGCATGAATTACTTTTCACTTTAGCATATTTACTTTTCTACATTAGCATTGCATTTAGAAAAGAAAGATAAAAAGTTTCATGATTGCATTACAACATTACATCATAAATCCTAAAGCTCCATGTGAACAAATCTACGGTATAAATACCTGTGGAAATATTCACTGTGGTGGCATAAAAATTTAAAAATACCATACAAGCATATTTCTTGCAGGCATATAAAAATGAAAAATCCAAAAATATATTAGAAAGACATCCTGTTAAAAATCTGCCAAAACAGAAATATTTCTAAACCACATGAACAACTAATCTCTGGACGTCTGACCGCTAACCCTTTATCCTAATCCGTTTCACAAGTTTTGGTATTCTTGTTGATATTTTGCAGGATGATGCACCAAGATCAAGAGCAAATTCATCCGATTGTCTTCATCTCATTCTAGCCCGGGATGAGAGGGACATCTGCTGGCAAATCTGCTCCGAAAAGGATCACTCAACTTCGACATTCGACCACGCTAACATCCAGCTTGGGGGAAAGGCATCCCCATGTATCTAGCTAAGTATTTATTTCCCTTTTGTTCTATTATTTCTAAGTCATAAAAAGATGCATAACAAACTAAAAGCAAAAAAATATTATTTACTTTATCTTTTTTTATATATAATAATAAGGTGTGATCTTAAAAATGAAAACAAAATAAAAAGTGTGTGTCTAGTTTTCTATTTTTAAGAGCTAAATAAATGGACTCTGATGATAATCTCTTGCAATGGAAATGATGAATAGTTGCTCTATCGTAATTCCTTTCAAGTACATAGTTTTCAACCTTGAATTCTTCCAAGTTTTAGATACGACTGTTTTGATATAAGAATTTACTCTGAACTTGAAACTTGTGTGTAGCATATGCTTGATCTAAGTCTAGATAATTGACGGATATGATATGAGAAGCTCTGAGCTGTTGTTTATCTTGTTCCAAGTGATACTAAAGTTCTGGAGATTTATCTTTTGAAAAATATAAAAATCCTATATAATGAGCTCCTGTATGACAAAGCTTGAATTTCTATCAAAGCCATATATGTTATTTAGACTAGGAAAACTTTCACTTATACGCTGCTTATTTTACATTGAGTTTAGTCAACCTTTGTTGACCCTTATGAGAGGTTTGTTATGCTCTTAAAATCAAGATCACGTACACACCACCCAAATATGCACTACTCCTACACTGGGGGTAGGCGCAACAATATGCCATTCCATCTAGATCCACCAAAAAATGTTCTTGATAGGATATCCACCAAATAAATGCTCCAAGTTCTTGTTGCTATCTCTCAAAAGTTTTGTTGTAGAAAAGAGACATAGGGCTATGCAAAAGTTATTCATAAAAAAGAGAAAAATAAAAAAGTTAAGAAAAAAATAAACATGTGTCTGAATTATCAAAACAATGGGTACTTAGATGCCCGCCTGAAAAAAAGGAGGAGATGAATAAGATAGCCCATGTTCTCTTGCAAATGTTTTCAAGATTCAAATGAGATAAAAGTTTTCAAGGAGCATAGTAAAAATAGGTTAGCCATCATATATATCCACCACATACATCCACACACATGCATATTTTGATTTGATTGTATGACTCAACTCTCTTTGGATCCGAGGTTTGACTTTACAATATATGTATTGCAGGTATGCTCTTGTATGATTTCTCCATTCCTATGAGCTCCACATAAGCCTTAGTTGTAGGAAGAGAAAGGCATAACATCACTGTTGCCTTGGTGAGGATCCACAAATACCACATATATTGAGAGACTTGAGAGTGTCATACAAAGGAAGCTCTGAGTTTTATTTTGAAAAACTATAAAAACTCTGGAATAATGATTGACCATAGAACTTGAGATATAGTGCTTGACTTGATCATTCTATCTTTCAATTGCTCAAGACCCAAGTGAAGGTTAAAAAGCCACATGGTTGAAGGCAATATGGGTGAGTTTGAAAGTCAGATCGGTTTATTCTAATCTAGAGGAGAATTCTTGTTTGAACGCATGTGTACTTTTGCGGAGTTGCATCAATGTTTTCAAAATCCTTAAACTCCTGATCCATTTGCTAAGTTTAGCTTTACAGAGGGACTAGCAAAGGTTAAGCATGGGGAGCTTGTTGACGGTAGTTAATAACCATTATAAACCATCAATATAACATGCATAAGGGCATAAATATAATCACCAATGAAGGTCTAGGGGTTTAAACTAACAAATTTCATGAGTTTTGGTGAATCTATATTTTCTATAGGGTTTATTCAGAAAACCATCAAGGTGGACCTACATGTCAGATTTAATCGCGCTTATCCACAGCAAAACGGACACCAGAAGACTCTAGAGGACTCGAGAGGACTCCACACCGAGGCAGAGTCTAAGTGGCCAGCCCGACCTGCAGGCCGCCTGGCCCCTAGGCCCACCTGTCAGCCTTCGTGTCGCAATGTCGGTTCTACACCGCCTCCTAGGTTGCATCTACGCCATCCTTTAAGTCGGTCTGATCCAAGAGCTCCATCATTTCTAGGGCATAGCGAGTTAGACTAGGTCTAGAGGGAGACAAGCAGGCTTCGCTTAGATTCCTAATCGTGTCAAGAGCGTGGTTTGGTATAATCTTTGTACCCCCTCTCTTTTGTATCTCCATTACTTTTATATGCTTCATACAATTGTTATGACAATATTAATATTCATCTCATTTATGTTCTTCATTATAATGTTCATCGTCTACTTTGATTATATGCTTAGTATAGTTGGATTATCATCATGTTCATGCATAAGTTTGTATAGCGCTCACTCTAAGGATCCATGGGTGGGTGGTCGACATTGTGTAAGCGTGGTGCTTATATGTTGTTTACCTACGGATACACCCTATATTCTAGGTCAAGTGGTAGATCACGGACGTGACACTCCCATTGAGTCCGTTGTAGTCCACTCCCCGAATATAGGTGCACGTAGGATGCGGTTACGAAGGAAGACAAGCTCTGTTATTAATCTTCCTTAGTAATATCCCTTATGTGTAGATATGGCAATGATGTTAGCAATGATTACAAGGTATAATTGCACTAATCAATGTATGCTTTGACTTGTGATTAAGAATGACTTAGGAATTATTCCTCTAATATTCTACCTGACCATGCTAATGCCATAGAAAAGAGTACTCTGAGTGATTTATCATTATCATTGATCAATACTTATCATATATATATCTTATCCTATGACTTACCCCTGTTATGAGTAGAATATTGGTTATGGTTTACTTCTCCATCAATAGTACAAGTTATCAATACATATCCATGCTAGACCTTCCCTGTGGTAAAAATATAAATAACCATACCTGAAATACTCTCGGGTGAAGTGCTATAATGGTATATTATCTGTGCACTTGTAGATCCTTTTTCATTCATATATTTATATATTCTTTCTAATCACATTAAATGATAAAGAATTGATTAGTATTATTCTAGTAGTAATGCTATGTAGTACCAACAAGCATCTCTAGCATCATCACTAGGGATAACAACCTAGTAAAGTAATATTATGGGATATAGGTTTATAATAGGTGGCTAATAAAATAAGTGACAAGTTAATAAATACCAACGATTGGTTTCTTTGGTGATGGGGAGCCGGGATGGAGAGCCGGTCCAGGCTGGTGAGATGCATGCTCAAACCGTGCACCCAGTCTTGTTTGGTTGTCTTTGTTGTTGGTCTAGTATGAGAAGAGATCTTGTTTGGTTGCATGCATGCATCAGAGTTTTTGGTGTTTGACATATGGGCCCCTGCACCATGCGTGCATCTTGTGGGAAGTGGGAATCGAGAAGTCGGAGCCATGCAGGATGGTGAAGGGCAGAGGAATGAGACGAAGCAGGTAAAGCGTGTGAGGAGGGGAACCAAACACGGCAGAAGAATGAAGCAGGCAAAGCATACGAGGATTGCCTGGTTCGGGCAACCAATCACGCCCATAGAGGGTGATGGAACGGGATCTCACCGGAGCTCAGTACAAAGGAGGGAGCATGCATGGTGCTATTGTGTATGCCGATAGGGAGGCGCCATAGGTCTCAGATCCACCATCGCCATGCGTGGAGAGGCCACACGCCTGTGGAGATGTGGGCAGCTCCCACATGTTTGTCGCGTATGTCAGTGGAAGTGAGGCACTGAGGAGGAGATCTCGGTGTGGGAGAGAGAGGAATGGCGGCGCCCATTGGGTGGGAGTGAGAGAGTGCAGGTTAGGGACTCATGAATACATTTTAGTGGGCATATGGCTATTTACTAAGGCGGGCTTCTTAGGTTCGTCTCTATTAATTGATTTTCAAAGGCACCCATAAGTTTGTTGTCTTCATAAATGGAACGACCGTCTCTAAAAATCATTGTTCATTTTTAGAAACTACAATATTTTCTGCTAGCCACTGTAAATAAAAAAGTTATTATTTTTATGGTAGTGAGATACAATCCATTTATACGAAGTGAAATAAGTTTCACTTTCTAGAAAAAAACTTAAAAACATCTTTTCTCCTTTTTGGAACATTTTTTGTCTTACGCACAAAAAATCTCATTCCTAAAAATATTTCTCCTTCACATAAGAATTATTTACCTTTCTAGAACATTTTTTTCTCACCTTCTAGAACAATTTTCCAACTCCCTTTGTTTTTTACTACATGTGATTTTAGGCTTGTACAAAATAAAGAATTCCTAAGTTTGACCATTAATTTCAAGAAGTCCTTGTAGTTTCACAATATTTGAATTAGATATATGGTATGAAAAGTTTCGCATAGTGAGTCTAAAATGTAAGTTTTATGTTGCTAATCTGCATTTTTTTTTAGAATTGATGACCAAAGATAAAAAATATTCGACATAGAACAAAGCTAATGCAACATGTAAAAAATAGAGGAAGCAGTAGATTATATGGACGAGTACGACTTATTAACACATCAAATGGTCAAGAAAAATGACAGGACTACATCCTAGAGAGCCTTGAGCAGTGACTCCATGTTTGCACGTGGACGGCACACGGCCATAAGAGGCGTGGCCATGGGCATGGTGAGACCGGAGCCCTCACTCATGTCCACCTCCTTCCCTCCATCCGGTTCCCACTCAAAGCACTGCATCATAACCCCCAGCGTGACTCCGACCATCTTCAAAGCGAGGCCCTCGCCGGGGCACTTCCGCCGGCCCATCCCGAACGGCATCATCCACCTGCTGCTCCCACCATCTCTCCGGCCACCTACACCGCTGCCGCCGTCCATGAACCGCTCCGGCACGAACTCCTCCGGCCGCTCCCCCCACACGGCAGGGTCCCGCTGCATGGAGAACACGTCGACCAGCACCATGGTGCCGCGCGCGACGGCGTGGCCGCTGGCGACCACGCAGTCGCGCGACGCCTCGTGTGGGACGTGGTTCGGCGCGAGAGGGTATAGCCGGAGCGTCTCGGAGACGATGCACCGGAGGTAGGGGAGGCCGGCGAGGTCGGATTCCTGCAGCAGACGGGACGTGCCCACGACGGAGTCGATCTCCGCCGTCGCTTTCTTGGCGGCGGACGGGTTGGTGAGCAGCAACGCCATGGCCCACTCGATTGTGCTCGCTGTTGTGTCTGTCCCTCCTTGTAGCAAACTCTGCGCATGCAGTTACACGTTGCAAGAGATTTAGTTGACGTACGGTCATCAATCAAATAGTATAACTACTACGCGAGAAGAATTATGTTAATCAAGTATTCATGAGAGATATAGCGCCCGTCTAAAAAGTCAACTGCACACAAATTCCAATGTTTGACAAGAGCATAATAAACTGAGCCAGATTGGAGTTCACGCAACAAAAACAAGTACTGGAGACTTTGGAGTACCAATCTCACACTAGTAGCACACGGATATGGGCAACGTATACTACCTCTATTTGTAAACGTATGACGTCTAAAACGCAAGCACCCGAATTTCTCTAACATTGATATACTTATGTTTAATTTGGGTACAACATTTTGAAATGGTCACAAGGAGATGGCACTGGGTAAAATGACCGAATGGTATTAGATGCAGACCCTAAATTTGTTCATTAATTTCTAATACATCTATCAAATTACTAGCAGCCTGTGCAGGCAGGACCATGGATTGACGGACTTGTTTTTCTAATTAACAAAAAGGCAAGTGGAATGGAAACATATATGAACTATGAAATGCCAAAAGTTTATGTTTGTAAAGTACCACTAGCACCACGAAAGTCGATCAGTGTTTAGAACTTAGCAGCCCATGCCCATGCCAGCAATGCAACACTCAATTATTTGGCACAATTCAATAATCTATTGGAGCTTTGGAAGTGAGAGTAGTAATAATGGCCAGTGCGGTGCACATCGACCGCATTTGGCACCGGTGTCGTCGTCCATGCATACGTCTGCCGCCGCTTCAAAGTTGTTGGCGTACGCGCGTGTTACCTTACCGTGCAACGGACGAGAGCGAGCTGACTCACCAGGCACACGGAGCGAACGACCACGTCGTCGAGATGCTCCGGCGACTGCTCCTCCTGCTGCTGCCGGAGCAGGTCCCCGAGCACCGTCCTCGCGGTCTCCCTCTCCCCAGCATCGTCGTCTGCTCCGCCGGGGTGACGGTGACGCCGCTGCCTGTAGTCGTCGAGGATGCTCTGGCCGAACTGTCGCCGTGCCTCGGCGATGCCGGCAAGCCTCCTTCTCGTCCTCCCGAAGTCCAGCATCCGGAGAACCGGCAGGGAGTCGTGCCGGTTCGCCGCGCCAGCGGCCGCGAGCCCGGCCTCCGTCATCTCCCTGAACCGTCGCACCTGGTCCCCCGTCATGCGCGTCCCGGCGACCATGGCCATGATCACGTTGGCAGCGAACTCATACGCCGCCGCCTTCACGGCGACGGGCCTGGCTGCGGCGCGCCGCAAGAGCTTGGCTGCCATGGCGCGCGACTCGGCGTCGCGCGCGCCGGACGTGGCGGCCAGGCGGTGCGCGCAGAGCGCGTGCACCGTGGCGAGCCGCCGGAGCTGGCGCCACAGCGGGCCGTAGCTGCACATGGCGATGGCGGGGCAGTCCTGCGTCAGGACCCGGCGCGACGCGAGCCCTGGGCGGTCCGCGAGCGCCACGTCGTGGACGGTGAAGCACTCCTCGGCGACGGACGGGGAGGTGACGAGGAGCACTCGCTTGGCGCCGAACCGGAGGTGGAGGAGGCCCGCGCCTTCGGTGTCGTAGCGGGTCGCCAGCGCGGCTAGGGAGCGGTGCAGCGGCTTCTTGAGGAGGTGGAGGTGGCCCAAGACGGGAAGCGCCGGCGGACTTGGGATGTGCCGGCCTTGGCCATTAGTGCGCTGCTTGCGAGGTGAAGCCTGGAGCAACAGCCACACGAAGAGCAGAAGAAGAGAGGCTAAGAGCAAGGGTTGCTGTGAGATCTCCATGGCTGTTGTATGCTCTCTGCTGGTGCATGGGTGCTTCGGAACCGTGATATTTATGCATTTGAGATCTCCATTGACTTGATGAATGGGATGGGATGTATTAGTAAGCAAAACTCACTTGTTGAATAGATTATTATTTAGCACAAAATATCCCATGAATGACCCTTTTATTTCAAATAGTGCCTACGACCTAGGACTACATGGTTATGGTCCGTGCATTTTTGCACACAAATTTGCTATTTTTTTATAGAAGTTTAGGTGATGGTTTCATCTTATTTTTCTTGGTAGGTGCCCAAAAAATAAGAATAAAAATCGTGTTTTCTAGGCAGCACCACTTGTTTCTCTCTCCATCATCGTCTTCCTTCGTCGATGTTCTACTGCAACACTCCATGGGGACAAGCATCGATGTTTTGTCATGCTCCATCGAAATAAGTTTGTACACCGTTCCGGCCGGGATTGGCCGCTAGCTCTCGTCCTCGCGTGCTCAGTTCCGAGCCTGAAAAGAAAGGCGTGGGAAAGAAAAAAGAGAAAAGACAAGGTTCTAAGTAAAGCGCATGAGAGAAAGATATGGTTGGAGGCCTTAAACTGTATAGAAACAAATTCAAGGTTCCTAATAAAAAAAATCACAAATACTCTGTCCGACTGGGCCAAGTCCATCCGTGTCCTGGGCCGCCTTCTCCGCCTGGATCGAAGCTGGGAAAGCCCTTTTTTCGTTTTTTTTTTCTTTTCAGGAAAGCAGCTATCTCATAAAATTCATAGAAAAAACACAAAACAATTCAGAAAAATACCAAGCCACTTTTGTGGCACTCCTCTTGACTAGATCTATGAAATGAACACATAAAACACTATGCTTTAGTAGAAGTTCTTTGCTGTAATTGTAAATATATGCTTTTATGTGTTTATTCTATAGAGCATGTTTGTGTAATACAAATGCAGTGAAATTTTTATGCTAAGTTAATACTGATGTGTAGAAGCTATTGTAGTGTACACTGGATGCATATTTTCTGAGTTATAGTTTTATCTTGTGATATGCTTGTTTAATAGGTTTAAAATAGTTAAAAATATGTAAAAATGGAAAATGTGAGTTCTCTATGTATTATTACTGTTGTTATAGAAAATGTGTGGCTGACGAGCAGGGTCTACTCATAAGTGAGAGAGACTGATCGTTGTTATGTGACAAAAATATTTGGTCACACAATATATAGGACACGAATCTTAATAAATCTAATTGTTTGTTTTATTTTTTTTTTACAAATTTTAACTTGTTCTGTATTTTACCGTAGCGTTAGCTCGGGCATGCTACTAGTGAACCGTAAGAGAGCATGCATGTGCCGCTTCACCCTAGTCTTGTACTACATGTTGTGTGACTCAAGATGGTTATTAAGTTAGTCTTAGTGGAGATCACTTCGACGACAATAATGGTTTCATAGGCAGACAAAATAGATTTATGAAGGCATGCAGTATGACTCTCTCTAGATCATTGCCACTATTAATCAGTATTTCTAGAAAACATTATAGTATTCCTTGGAATACCCAACTATTTTGGTATACTCTTATGTATTTATGCATGTATACTTGTATATATGTGTGTGTATAGTGCAATTTTCTGTAGTATTTTCACTCACTGTAGCCCAAAATAGCCAACTAAACGGCCTTTCGGCTTGTCTTCCCAACTCCCTCCAATTTCAAGCATATCATAAAGCTTAAAATAAACTCCATAAGCCACTAAATTTTGCTTGAAATTTTCTCAACGATACAAACTTACTGCAACAGGAACCTCTGAATAGGCAATCTTAACGGGCTCTGCTCCAATTTATTATTGCAAATTAGCATAACCAAAAACTCAGAAGGCCAAAAATTTAGAGCAGCTCAATTTCATTGACTCTAAAATTAATTAAGAATTTTTTTTAACCAGAGCATCCACTCATAATATAGCTACAAATATAATAAATCGTGTCAAAAGTACCAACAACTACTGCTTGACTCATGGACAGTTGGGGTCAAAGAAGGTCGTGCCAAGTAAAAGCAGCAATTTTCAGTCACAATTAATACAGTTATGATAAACACAAACATTAATAATCATTTAACAAGACATAAAACCACCACCGCAGATATTTCTGACTCAAATGTTCGAATTCAACTGTTGTGTACTGTCACAATGGATTGCTGTTGCAGGGAAGCCTTTTGAGTATAGACAATACTGCAGTGAATCAGCTTCCCACTCCATCTCCACAAAGACCAATGTCCTGCAGCCAGAGAAATGGCAAACTAAATTAGAAGTTTCCAAGCAAGAAATGGCAAACCATCTTATTTAAATCCAAGATAAGAAAAGCTACCATATACCTTGCTATTTGCCACACCAACAAATTGCTTCTACAAAAGATCTAGCAGGAAGCATCTTTTGCATGAAGCTTCTACAAAAGAGCTCAACATAAACAGGCTGTGTGTGAGCAGCTGCAGGTTACCAGAGAGACAATGAATGAGAAATATCTCGAGTTGCCAGTGCATGTGAGCAAATCAAAGAACGACACCTTTGCGTATCTAAAAGACCGAATATGGTCTAGGATCCAGGGGTGGAAGGAAAAAATCCTTTCTTTGGTTGGCAAGGATATTCTAATAAAGGCAGTGGCACAAGCTATCCCTACTTGTGCTATGGGATGCTTTGATCTTACAAAGTCGCTTTGTGATCAAATAAGCACCATGGTATGTCGTTTATGGTGGAATCAACAAGAGGGTAAACATAAAATTCATTGGCTAAGTAAAGAGAATTTGATGAGGCCAAAAGGGGAACAAGGTTTGGGTTTCAAAGATATTCACGCTTTCAACCTTGCGATGCTTGCAAAACAAGGGTGGAGGCTGTGGAAAAATCCAGATTCCCTCTGTGCCCAAGTTCTAAGAGCCAAAAGGTTCAAAGTGAATTATGCAGGGACGTTAGTGCTGGATGCAAGACCGAAAGTGAATATGTCCTATACTTGGCGAAGTATTCTAAGAGGCATCAAAGTGATGAAGATGGGGATGATTTGGTGGGTAGGAGATGGAAGAAATTTAAAGATCTGGTCGGACCCGTGGCTCCCAAGGGGTTGCTCGAGGAGACCGATCACGCCCAAAGGTTCTAGTTTTGCTTACATACGTTGACGACCTCATAAACCCTATAACAGGTAATTGGGATGAAGAGTTGATCAAGGACACTTTCTGGGAGAATGATGCAGCGGTGATACTGGCTCTACCGGTATTTAAAGGATGTGAGAATACCCTTGCTTGGCACTATGACAAACGTGGAATGCTTAGTGTCAGAGGTGCATATAAGCTGTGCCATGATGATATCCTTCGGAGCTAGCATGACCCGGGGAGGCGCGCAGGGGGGAGCACGATGGCTATAGATCCAATGTGGGATCAAATTTGGAACCTAAGTTGTCCAAATAAAATTAAACACTTCATTTGGCAACTCACCCATGCATAACAGTCATCCGCTCATATAGAATTTGGTGAAGTGGGGCATGAAGATCGACACAGACTTGCCCTTGTTCTTGGATGATGAGCTAGCCTTGAATGCTACACTTTTCTCCTTCTTGTCATCCTTGTCAACCCCTTCCCTTTCCACATGGTATGTCTCTTGTGTCATGATATCACCTAGTACTTGGTTAGGGGTCATCTCCTTAAATCCTCCTCTTATGATAAGCCATCTCAACATCTCAAATCTTGGAGGTAAGCACATCAAGAACCGCTGAGAGACATCATAATCATTGATCTTCTCTCCCAAAGCCTTCAAGTCATTGACAATCACTTGCAATCGATGGCAGAATGCTCTCATCTTCCTTCATCTTGAAGCTTGTCAACTTATCCTTGAGAATATACAACTTGGCACTCTTCACCGCCGGTGTGCCTTCATATGTTTCCTCCAATCTCTTCCACACCTCACCAGCTCTATCACAATCCTTGATTTGCTCAAACACCTTGGAATCAATGGCATTGTATATGGTGTTGAGAGCTATTGTATTGCATTGCTTGTTGGTCTTGTCTTAGTTGGCGAGATTGTCGGGATCAATGATAGCATAGTCATTCTCGGTCACATCCCATACTTGATCATTGATTGAACCAAGATACATCCTCATCTTTCTTTTCCAATAATCATAGTTTGTGCCATCAAAGAACGGTGGTTTGCCCCCCACATGGTTGAACACAACTTGAGCTATAATTTAACACCGAGGTTGTTAAGCCTTCAATCAAACGGTGACCATGGCTCCGATACCACTTGAAAGGTCCTAATATGGCTAGAGGGGGGGTGAATAGCCTATTTAAAATCTATAAACCAACTAGAGCAATTTGATTAGTATAACAAATAGCGAAAAGCAAACTTGCTCTAGCTCTACAAGGGTTGCAAGCCACCTATCCAACAATTCTAGTTACTATGATTACTAGACACATAATTTACTAAGTCACTACTTCAATAAGAGCTCTTACACTTGCTACACTAAAGAGCTCCACTAGATGAACTTAAGCTACAAAGCAAGCTCTCAATTCTAGTTACACTAAAGAGCTTGTTACAACTAGTTTGCGGGAATGTAAATAAGTAAGTAAGGTGATTATACCGCCGCGTAGAGGAGTGAACCAATCACAAAATGAATACTAATCCAATCACCGGGAGAATACCAAAGGGCAAGAGACAACCAATTTTTCTCCCGAGGTTCACGTGCTTGCTGACACGCTAGTCCTCGTTGTGTCGACCAACACTTGGTGGTTCAGCGGCTAAGAGGTGTTGCACGAACCTCGTCCACACAATTGAACACCGCAAGAACCTACCCACAAGTGAGGTAACTCAATGACACGAGCAATCCACTAGAGTTACCTTTTAGCGCTCCGCCGGGGAAGGCACAAGACCCCTCACAATCACCGGGAGATGGCCACGAACAATCACCAACTTGTGCCAATCTTCCTCCGCTGCTCCGAGCCGTCTAGGTGGTGGCAACCACCAAGAGCAAAAAGTGAATCCCGCAGCGAAACAC